ATATGCTTCTTACGGAGCCACTCCTTGGTTATCCTGGCTGTGTGCTTTTGGTCGTTGTCATGTTGGAAGACCCCGCCACGACCCATCTTCAATGCTCTGACTGAGGGAAGGAGGTTGTTGCTCAAAATCTCACAATAAATGGCCCCATTCATCCTCTCCTTAATACAGTGCAGACGTCCTGTCCCCTTCGCAGAAAAGCACCCCCAAAGCATGATGTTACCACCCCCATGCTTCACAGTAGGGATGGTGTTCTTGGGATGCAACTCATCCTTCTTTTTCCTCCAAACACGGCGAGTGAAGTTTAGACTAAAAAGTTCTACTTTGGTCTCATCTGACCACATGACTTTCACCGATGCCTCCTCTGGATCATCCAGATGGTCTTTGGCAAACTTCAGATGGGCCTGGACATGTGATGACTTGAGCAGGGGAACCTTCCGTGCAATGCATGATTTGAAACCATGACGGCGTAGTGTTCTACCGACAGTGACCTTTGAAACTGTGGTCCCAGCTCTCTTCATGTCATTGACCAGCTCCTCCCTTGTAGTTCTGGGCTGATTCCTCACCTTTCTTATCATCAGTGATACTCCACGAGGTGAGATCTTGCATGGCGCCCCAGTCCGAGGGAGACTGACAGTCGTCTTTAGCCTCTTCCATTTTCTAACAATTGCTCCAACAGTTGATCTATTTTCACCAAGCTGCTTGGCAATTGCCCCGTAGCCCTTTCCAGCCTTGTGGAGGTCCACAATTTTGTCTCTGGTGTCTTTTGACAGCTCTTTGGTCTTGCCCATGGTCGTAGTTGGTGTCTGACTGACTGTGGGGTGGACAGGTGTCTTTAAAAAGCTCAGACAGGTGCTACTAATTTAGATTAATGAGTGGAGTAGAGGTGGACTTTTTCAAGGCACAGTAACAGGTCTGTGAGAGCCAGAATTCTTGCTGTTTCTCCGGTGTTCAAATACTTATGTTCAGCAGTGCAAGACAAATAAATTCTTTAAAAATCATACAATGTGATTTCCTGAAATATTTTTTAAATTCTGTCTCTCAGAGTGGGAATGCACCTACAATGTGAATTTCAGACCCCTCCATCATTTCTAAGTGGGAGAACTTGCAGGGTGTTCAAATACTTCTGTTCCTCACTGTATTTTATCCCTTACTTTACTTTTAAACCCCAACATGCCAAGTCAGGATTTGCAACAGATTATAGTCAGGAAAAAAATTCTCCCACTTACTTGTTAACAGAGTATCTAATTTCCATATTTACTAAACTGTGACATGTTTGGGAGGATTACTTTGGACTGGTTTTCATGCATCACAGTGCAGCACAGTATATTAGACCAAAGCAGAGCTGAATCTAAAATAATCTGTTTGCATCTTAAACATAAGTGAGTTGTTGACCATGCTGAGTTTCACTTTGGCTGCACACACCTACAGCACACTGCATAGTTTGTGGAATTCAGAAGTGTTTTACTTTGACTATTATTGCACTAAAATGCTCATGTCTTATTTTTGCATGTGGTAGATGAAATATAGTTGAGGTTCATACACATTCATGCACTTCACGCAAGACCTTCCGTATCTGTCAAATGATTTAAACTGGTTTTCATGTTTTCACGCATCACAGTGCAGCACAGTATATTAGACACAAGTGTGCGTCCTCTATACTCTACAGTCTGCACCCTTCACCCATCCTGATCGACACAGTGACCCCTTACCGTGGTGAGGCAGCGGCACATGTTTCCATAAGCCACAGAGAAGCTGGGCTCATCGATGGCCTTCTCAAAGACCAGGTCGATGACACCTTTGAGCCTCTCCTCTGTATCGATGGTCAAGTCTGTCACCTGCTTCATCAGCTGGTTGAACTTCTGAGGCGTCAGCTTGTTGAGGATGCTGCGCACCTTCCTGAAGAGCTCCTGAGGAGATATCAATCATAAAGGCAACTAATCACAGAGATCTTCAATCGAAACAATCTATCACAACTTGGACATATCAAAATCTTTTCTAATATTCACAGAACTAAACCAAACAATTAATTCAGTTTCCAGTCATTTAAAGTGGAATTCTGATCATATAATTATTAAAATTACTCTGGTGTAGGTATTGTAGCTCACTTTATTTCTTGTGTGTAGGTTTGCGTGCATTTCACCATACCTGTGTTCTCTGAATCTCAGGGTCTTCTGCTAAGCCCTCCCTCTTCAAGCCAGGTTTCCATGCATTCTCTGATTTTTTCAGCTGAACATCATCATTCACCGATACGTTCATGATGATCTTTCGGGGTGGAGGGCGCCGTGCCCCAATGCTCATAAGCTACAATTCCAGTGAAGGAAAAAGACAAAAGGCAGACCATCAATGATCTACTCAACCCTACTGGATGGAAAAAAACTGACAAGCACATCTGGTCAGTTTTTAAGTTACATGGTTGTGCTAACCGATGCTAAATAAATGCGTATTAATACTAGAAGCACAGTGAGTTTTTAATTGTGAATCTATTGTGTGTTTTAGTCTTCAAGACTCTTTGCTCACTGTGATGTTTGTTCCAGCTCAGATGGCCCTTGTATGCTTTCTGTCTTTTCTTCTCTAACATGAAGCACAGGTCAACATCTGGATCTCAGTGTTATGAGCAAGTTAGTACAAAAAGATTTGTTTAGAGACTTGGTTTGACTCTTGAGCTTACTGCCTCAGGCTCATAATCCTTTGTGTGTTCAATCTCACACGCACAGTCTCATTCCCTCCTACAAACATGCGCCACTACTTCTCTCACCCTCTATTTATATTAGATGATTGAACTCCAACGTCCAACATATAATAAAACAAGTTTTCTGCCACCTAAAAATCGCAAGTTATGCATTTTGCCAGAGAAAAACAGAGGATAGATAAAACTGTGTGTTTGACTTTGTGCTGGACTTTATGAATGGCCGTGGCAGGTTGGGAGCGTATGTGACTCACTGCAGCGCCTCGTCCTCCGCTCATCTGCCTGCCAAAATCTGCAAAGGCAGGTGTGAAATCAGGTCCTCTGGAAATCACCCTGGAATCCACGGCTCGAGATGGCAACTTGCTTTGGTTCATCTGTACAACACATAAACATGCAAAATATATCAGTGCACAGATGAGATGAGCTAAACAGCAGGGGGAGCAGTGATCCCCCAGTAATACTGGCAACAGAGCAAGACAAGCCTGTGTGTGTGTGTAAATTTCTAAGCCAGTGGTCCCTTAAAGGTGACCCACTCTAAATGACACTTTTAGCACGTTACTAGGTTTTGGTTTATGTAGTCTTATTGTACTAATAATAAATTTTGCTTGTCGGGTTCGGCGGACCGTTCAGATGCAGATGTGAAAGGGGAGAACAAGATAGTTGTGGGGGAGGAGAGAAGAATAAATCCAGCTCTTTCTCTTTCAGCTGTCCTTCACTTCCTCTCCACTCTGTTCCAGTGAGATTTCATTTTCTCCCACAGAGAATCTGAAACTATGCGATTGTACCAATCAGCCATGCGCCGGTCTGGTGGTTCTTTTCTGAGGTGGGGGAGGGGCAGGTACTCTGAACAGTGCCAAATGTGACATAATGGCAATGTGATTTTAATCAAAACAGCATTTCAACGGGGCACATGCTCCACTCATACATATGTGTGGATCAGAGAAACGAACCAAACTCTTTGATCCATTTCACACAATCTAGCAAAGTAAAGCAAAATAAAACCTGTTGATATGAGCCAATATGAAGAATCTTATTTCATAAAGGTTTATTTTAAAGTAGGGCTGCAACTAACACATTTTTCATTATTGATAAGTCTTATTTTTTTAAGAGCTGAAATCACTTGGCTCCTTAAAACCTCAGGATATTATAAACCATGCCAATCACTATTCCCCAGAGCCTCAGGTGAAGTTTCCAAACTGCTCATTTTGTCCAGCTAACTGTACAAGACCTGATGACAAGAAATTTACAATGATATAAAACATGTGAGAAGCTGGAATCACTGTCGTCTTTGGCATTTTCAACTTATTAAAATTAATGCAAATGATTGTTAAAGCTGAATTAAAAATAAAACTTGAATGTAAATATTTCTATTTGCAAAAACCAATACTGAATGATACTGTGTAATTAGTCAAACAACAGGAGGTTAATTAGCAATCATTTTATTAATCAATCAATTTTTAAAGTCAATCTTTATGCAAAATCCGCAAAGCTCAGTGGTGCTAGTTACTAAAATATGAGTAGCTGCCATTTTATTTAAGTCTTCTATGACAGCAAACTTTATATAACTTATGGTTTTGAACTGATGGCCAGGAAAAGACATTTTAAGATGTTTGGCTCTGGGAAAATGACTGTTTGACATTCTAAAGCCCAGACAATCAATTTTTCAAGGGAATTATCATCAGATTAACTGATAATGAAAATAAATGTTAGTTGCAGACAACAAAGTCAGAAGATTCACTGGTCATGTTCTGTTCTCCAAGAACCTAAAGAGGTAGTTACTCATCTGCAAAGGAAACTGACTGTACAGATGAAATTCATAGCCATAGATTAATATACATTTGGCTTCACAGTACAATCTTTTTGTCTAAAGGCCTGTGAATTTGCAGGCTTGCAGAGGTTCTGCAGTGTACCTTGTCCAGCACCACATCACTGATTGGTGGGAGCCCCTCAGGCTTCTGTATGCAGGCAGGCATGAACTGGAAGGCCAGCAGGAAGCCCCTGTCATACTGACGCTTCCCACTTGGCTCGGCCAGGTCTGGACCACCAAACAGGGTTTACGAGGGGAGGAAAGAGAAACAGAGTAAAGCCACATAAATTAGGATTATCTGAAGTGAAGCCAGCAGCTCCATACACTGGTAGCTCCAAAAGGCAAAAACAGGTGTGCTCAAATTTGGGATGACAACACAGAAAAATCACTGTAGTTCCACTGAAAAAACCTGTTTTTTTTTTACATTCAAGTTTTGCCTATTGTTGCTTTAAACATCTTTCCCAAGAACAAGTTGTGTCTTACCTTCCATGTCCTGTGAAACCCCTGTGGAGTTCTCCTTGTCTCCAGCAGTAGCTCCACTGTCGCTGCTCTCTGTCTCAGAGGCGTGTTCTGCCCCATTCCGCAAAGGCTCCAGCTCGGCCTCACCGTTCTCCTCTGGTGTGATGGGTTTTCCATCAGCCTCAGGGCTGCTGGCAGGAGCTGGAGTGACGGCAGAGGTCAAGACTGGTGGTAGGGGTACAGGACTACTGCTCAGAGGAGCTGATTGCAGGGCCTGGTCTCCAGCAGGCTCATCTACTAGCTTCAGTTCGTCCTGTGTGGAGACAGGATTCAATTTTCACAACAGTAAGCATTAGGCCCAGCTTTATTATCATTTAGCAAGATAATAAATCACCTTGTGGAAAATTTAAAGTACTGAAGTTCTTTCCAGGTAGTCGTATTTAAAAACTAGTGGCATCACACATTCTCCAAATAACAGTCTGTGATTATCTGTTACAGAGCTGCAAGGAGGTCAATGGCAGCCAAATGACAGGCACATAAAAAGTGTAAAATATAGAAACTGAGGAATGAAAAAATAAAAACTGAGTGGAGGCAAAGGCCTCAGGGATGATAAAATGCCGAGGGCTGAATTGGTCAGGCAGAGCTTCAGACTTTCTGCAGAATGAGATACTAACAATAGACAGAAAAGGGGATGAACAGGAGCACAAAAGGTTCGTTGTTGTGGACATTACCACTGATCATTTTCTCCACACCTTCATAGTCATGGTGTTTGACGTTTTAAT